AAAAAAAAAAAAAAAAGAGTGAGAAACAACTCAAATGCCCAAAAAGAGGGAAGTAGTTTTTTAAAATGGTTCATCTGTACATATATGTATGGTGGAATATTATGCAGATACTATCATACATGTAGAGAATACTTTATGACATGAGAAAATGTTTATGATATGACAAACAGGTGAAAAAGAGTACAAAATACAATATGTTCAACTTTTAAAAAATAAGTTTTGCAAGGAAATAAGCAATATTAGCATTTCTTATTTTTGAGTGATAGGATGATAAATTATGTGAATAGAAGGCAAAAACATTTTTTGTTTTGTATTTTGTACAAGGTTATGTTAATTTTTTTATAAAAATAAAATTACCTCAACTTAGTACTGTTTTTCACTCATGTGAGTTAAAAGTTATGTGTATAAAAAAATGATGTGTGTATGAGAGAGAAAGTGTATTTTGGTGGTTTAACAGAGAGTGGGTGTGTGTCAGAGAGTATGTGTGTTTTGGTGCTTTAATATAGCCTTTTATAAATGTTTGAAGGGAATGCTGTAAGAACATGATAATAACTCTGGCACTGGGGATAACAAAGTAGTATGTATGAGCTATTTTAATCTCAAGAGTCTACTCTATAGAAAGGATCTTTGTTTTTCTCAAGTGTAGTAGGGTGAATTATTAGATGAGTAAGTTGTCTCATTTATTAGCATTTCATTTTTTTTCTTTCCAGGCGCATATTAAATTTCCTATTGACTACCCATATTCACCACCTACCTTCAGATTCTTGACCAAAATGTGGCACCCCAACATTTATGAGGTAAGAGACATGTATCATAAATTTCTCTGAAGAATTATTTTTCAGATCAATACTTTAAAATAGCCTGTATATCTCAGTACACTTTGATAGTTATGCAGTAGCCAGAGAGAAAATATTCGTGGTTTTGTATAATACTTGTAGTTAGCAGTCTCTGGTTTAATTATTTAAAATCGAGAGTAGTTGTATAATACCCTGCGTATATTCTCGTTAAAGATTGAGGCTTGGCCGGGCGCGGTGGCTCACACCTGTAATCCTAGCACTCTGGGAGGCCGAGGCGAGTGGATCGCTCAAGGTCAGAAGTTCGAGACCAGCCTGAGCAAGAGCAAGACCCTGTCTCTACTAAAAATAGAAAGAAATTATTTGGACAACTAAAAATC